GTTTTATTGGCCATATGGCTTTATTGACCCATACAGTGCAAGTAGATGGGTGCTACATGTGAACACAAGCTTTAAATATGATCTAAGTGAGATTAACTAAAATAAAAAATGGGCAAGGGGGACAGGTTTCTCATGTATCCCAAGCTGACCTCAAATTCACTGTATAACCAGAGATGGCCTTGAACTCCTGATCCTCTTTTCCTCTACCTCCCCATTGCTAGGATTGGAGTATGTAGCAAGGACAGTATTGATGGGAGATGTCATTCTGTAAATACGTTTCTCTTATTGATTAATGAATAAAGCACTGTTGGCCAATAGGAAAGCAAGATAGGTGGGACTAGGAGACAAGGAGAATTCAGAAGAGGTAGGAGGAGATTCCACATGTAGGACCGAGAGAGCAGAACTCCAGACCCTCTCTCTGGTAAGACAAGGCCATGTGGAAACATTTAGATTGATAGAAATGGGTTAATATTTAAGACAGAGCTAGCCAATAAGAAACACTAGTAACAGGCCAACAGCTTTATATCTAACAGAGCATCTCTGAGTGTTATTTGGGGTTGGCGCGGCTGTGGGACCAGGCTGACGGGAAAACATGCTCCTAACACAGTATGTGCAATGCTGGGGCTGAATCCAGGGCTTTGTGCATGCTAGGTAATCACTCTACCCACTGAGTTACACTCCCAGGCCTAGTTAGTCAATTTTGCAATTTTGCTTCTGAAGTGTGTGTGTGTGTGTGTGTGTGTGTGTGTGTAACTTGAGGAAGATTTTGAACTCCCAATCCATCTGCCTCCACCTCTCTCAAGTACTGACATAACAAGTGTATGCTACTACATCTGACCTAACGAATGCCAGGCCCTTTAGCCCTTCTTATCCCATCTTATCAGCACTATCCAATCCGTGAGAATCTCTCCCAGCTGCTTCAACATGCTTCTAGCTTTCCTCCTGGCTTTTAGTTATGTACTTCATTAAGAAAGCCACCCTCTGCAAAGTTGACAAAGATGTCAAAACCAACTCAAGGCCACAGTTGAAGCACCTTTGGTGACTTTTCACACCACAAGGCGCTTCTTAGTCATCACAACTTGACTTCTGTTGAGACCATCAACCTATTCCCTCTGTATTCCTAGCCCCCTTTCTATGCTCAGCATGATGTAACCGCCTATAGTCCTGGGCACTGCTCTTTGCCTTTGTCTTTTCCCTCCAGCAGCTGGTCCCCTCCCACAACTACTTGGCCAGGTTCAGCTCTGTACCAGTGCTGCTAAACAATCTGTCTAGTGCTTCCAGCTGCCCACTTTTTTCTGTGGGTTTTTGATTTTTGCTTTTTTGTTTGTTTTGTGTTTTTCCTCCTGTACACACACATCTCTGGTACTTTCCATGCCAAATTGTAATGATCTGATTTGTGTCGTCCCTTTCAAAAGATTACTATCTGCTGAAGGCAGGGACCATATTCTACTTAACATTTCAAGCCCAGAGCACCTGCAGGAGGTGCTCTGTCCACATTAGTGCAGTTGAAATAAACCAGATCAAACATCAACAGTTTCAAGGCAGATCACACAATGATTGGCTCTTTTGAACAGAAATATACTACCATGTGACAGACATCCACTCTCCCTTACTTACGGTTTCCCCCTTTGTGAATACTCCCCTAGATTGAAAAAAAAAAAAAAAACCCATCAGAAGAGGGAAATGCACACAGATGTCCAGGCAACTGTAGTCATGATAGTGAAAACTGGAAGCAGTCCAAGTGTCTAACAGGGAAGTGACTGAGCAAACAATGGGATTATTATATAGCTATTAAAAATGACAGAGGTGAGAAGTGTCAACATAGAGAGCGAGCTATGTTCCAGCAGGAACGTTAAGTGGAAAAAAAGGACACAGGCTAGCGTTTGAGGATGTGTGAATGGATGTGTGTATGTGTGCGCACAGAGTAATAAGATCAGAGGCCAATCTGGAAAAAATGGACATGGCTGCAGTTCAGAGTTCTCTGGGTGTTTTGGAACCTGTAAGATTCCATCCATTTATCACAATAACAGCTGAGATCTTATGGACTCCACCTGCCCCCAAGTATTGTGCAGCAGGTGGTGTGACGGCAGAGGCCTAGAATCCAAGCATTTAGGAAGTAGAAGCAGGGGACCAGTATTTCTAGGCTATCCTCTGCAACACTGTAAGTTTGAGGCTGACCTGAGTTGCTTGAGACCTGGACTCAAAAACAAAAACAAAGCAAAAGTTGGACATTGTGCCTTACATCTTTAATCCCAGTGAAGGCAGAGGCCGGCAGAACTCTGTCTGAAGCCAGACAGGGCTACACAGTGAGTTCCTGTCTCAGAAAACAGGAATAAAACAAAAACATCATGGGGCTGAAGAGATGGCTCAGAGGTTAAGAGTACTTGCTCTTCCAGAGGGTCCTGAGTTCAATTCCCAGCACCCACATGGTGGCTCACAAACATCTGTTATAAAGTCTGGTGTTCTCTTCTGGCCTGCAGGCAAACATGCAGGCAGAACACACAACTGTTTTCAGGGGCCAGGGACAGGTGGCTCAGTGCTTGGGAGCATGTGTTGCTCTTGCAGAAGACCTGGGTTTGGTACTTAGCATCTGCCTCACAACAACCTATGACTCCAGTTCCAGGGGGATCTGACATCATCTTCTGGATTCAAGGGTGCTGTACTCATATGCACATACCTATATAGACACAGACAAACACACACACACACACACACACACACACACACACACACACACACATAATACCCTCTTCCCAAAATTAAGCCTTCAAAATAAGTACTATATGTTATCTACCAGGTAGAACATTACAGAGATATTTAAAGTCAACTTCTAATTAACATTGTTATGAAAATAGCGATACTTCTCTTCTTCGTCATCTTCGTCTTCCTCTCTCACTCTACCCAAATCTTACTAGGACACCAGAACGGTCTCAAATTTGATATTCTTCTGCCTCTAACTCCTGGGTGCACAACTACAGATGTGTTCCAGCACTCTGGTTTTGTGTGTGTGCTTGTGTGTGTGTGTGTGTGTGTGTATGAATGCCTTAGGGTTCCTATTGCTGTGATGCAATACCATGACCAAAAGCAATTAAAGGAGGAAAGGGTTTATAACCTCTTGTGCTCCACTATCCAGGGATGTCAGGGCGGGAACTCAAGGCAGGAACTGATGCAGTGGTCACACAGGAATGAGGTTTCCATTCCCTGCTTGCCAGTTCTCTTTCTTATCCACTCCAGGACCAAGGACCTGCACAGGAACAGCACCCACTCACAGTGAGCTGAGCCCTTCTACACCAATCACTACCCATCGTCTGAGTTCCTTCTTCCCAGATGACCCAGTCTAATGTCAAACACACAAACAAAAAACTAACCAGGATGAACTTATGTGTTCAGGCAAAGTGTGTGTGTGTGTGTGTGTGTGTGTGTGTGTGTGTGTGTGTACATGCACATGCATATGGAGGCAAGAGAACAACTTTTGAGTGTAGTTCCGCACGTGCTGGCTATCTTCATGAGACAGAGCTGCCAGTGACATCACACTTGGTTCTGAGGTTTGGACTCAGGCCCCCCTGTGCTTCTGAGTTTCACCCTACAGCCTGGGCTGACCTTGAACTCTTAACAACTATGACATTTCAGCTTCCCTGGTGCTGGGATTACAGGCTTGTGCCACCATGCCCAGCCATCCTGCCTCTTATCTCAAAGATACATGTAGACACTAGAGCCATCTCCCCTGAGGTTTACTCTGTTAGGCTCTATTATCAGAATGCTTAGACATGGCCTAAATTTAAACTGACCAAGTTCAAGGGCAGCAGAGTGTGTGTAAAAGCAAGTGGCATTGCTCAGGTAAAGACAGATTATTTTTATGAAAGCAAGGGGCTTAAATGTATTCTGCAAGGACAGAGCTGTTGAGATTTTCCCAACGAGGCAGAGGCAAGAGGATCAACACAGGTTCAATGCCAGCCTGATCTACTTAGTGAGTTCTAGGCCAGCCAGAACTCCATAGTGAGAAACCCTCGCCCCCACTTCACAGAAACAACACAAATGACTCCAGATGAATCAGGGAAGCTTTGGGATTTTTCTGGAAGCAAGGTCTCACATAGCCCAGGCTGGATTCCAACTAGTTATGTATCTGAGGGTGACCCTGAATGTCTAACCCTCAGGCTTTTACCTCCTGGCGCTGGGATTACAGGTGTGGGCCACCACGATGAGTTTATGGGATGCAGGTGGTAAAATCCAATGTCCCCTGGATAATCCATTACAACCCCAGCCAATCCACTACAACCCCAGTCGGAGACAAGAATCATTAAGTGAAAACCAGTTTGGCCTTTCTAATCTGAAATTGGCAGTGTCAGACAAAGGATCCTGTATTTGGCTACTCGCCTTATGACTAGTTTCCCCGACTATGGTGCACCCACCTCTGACTGCTTCGGGGATAGATATGGTATATTTCCCCACTATGATGCTCGGCAAGAACATAGGAGATGCCCTCATTTTCCTGCCTGCATTATCTATAATAGATAACTGCCCTTTAGGCTCTGCTGAGGAATCTGCACATAGAATCCACTCACTGAGCAGTCATGTGAGCTACAGCCCATGCTTGGGATGAAAACCCCGGAAGCCATCATCTCTCCGCTGCCTGGACAATGTATAATTAGCTCGGTGTGCAGCTTGACCCCAGTGATTTTTCTGACGCACTTGGCCTTCAGTGTGTGTGCCCTTTCTGAGACCTCCTGTGTCTTCTCCACAGCTGGAGATGCCCCAAACTGCACGCAGCACTTTCCGTGGGTGTGGCCTTGCTTTCTTAGGCGCTTCTTGGTGCTGGCTGCTGCTCTTCAGAGGATCACATGTTTCAGCTACTCACGGAGCCACAGCGCTCTTTGAAATGGACCATGAGTGGCTCTATCAATTGTAGTTGAGTCGTCCAGTCCCTCCCATTTCTTTTTTAAAAAAATGATTCTCTGATGGAGGCCTCTCAAAGAAACACTATAATTGGGCAGCCTGGGGCATATGGGAAAGCCTCCCGATGGCGTCAGTAGCTATTCTCAGGAAAGGAAAGGCAGGGTATCCCCACTGGGAGATGACAGCACTTGTTTCAAGTTGGGGAAGAGCCTGTGGTTCTCTTCCTGCGTTTAGAGGGGAAAGCGAACACACAATGTTCATTTCCTAAATACGGGATGTGCTTCGCTAGCGGCTCATTTTCCAACATGTCATATCCTGGCTGAAGGCAGCAGGGGTCAGGGCAGGAAATGGCAGCTTCTCAGAATGAGACAAGGCTTTCCCAGAGCGGTCATTGGTTCTTGGGGACTATAAAGCTAGCTCACCCAGAAACAGCCTGCTACTTTTCTTCCTGGAGTCCGGAGTGAAGGGTAAGTGGGGAGTTGCAGGAGATGAGTCTGAAATGGAGTTGGTGACAAGGGGGGTCAACTCTTGGGTCATCGTGTACTCAGAACAACTTCTTACTGGTCAGATGGCTCATGGAGGTCAACAAGGAACAGTAGGACCCCTGAGTCAGGAGACCGGGGCTCTTTACAGGGCTCTGGAAAGCATCAGTTGGATCTGCAGCCTGTCTCTAAAATCCTCTATCCTCACTGATGCCGATGAATTCTGGCTGGCGAATCCAGCGGATGCAAGCCTGAGATCTTAGCACCCAGAGGGTGGAAGCTGGAGGTTCAGGGGTTTGAGGCCAACTTGGACTGTATAAGATCCTGTCTTTAAAGACAACAAATGGAGATCAAAACATTTAATAACTTCTGTCCAGATATTTCAGTTTTGATATGCTCTTTCTGTGGCTAATTTGACATTTTTTAAGACATTCTAAATAGTAGAAAGTCTAGTGAGTATGAAAATCAGGGTCTCTGGCAACGGGGACAGATGAACTTTTACCCTGGTATGTTCAGCTTTCTCTTTTAGTCACCTTTTATTGGCTTCAATTCAGCTTGACCCAAGGAAGCCTTCAGGGAGTTGTTATTCCCCCTGCCCACTTTCTTTTTTGCCTTGAGACAGGCACTTTTTATGTAGCCTTGGGTGTCCTAGAACTCAATATTTAGACCAAATTGGCCTCTCAAGGATCTGGCCTGGCCTCTGTCTCCCAAGTGCTGGGATTAGAGAAGTGTGTCACCACAAGGGACTTGGCTATTTTTAAAAAAGTCTATTGGCTAGTCTATTTTTTTTTTTCATGGCACTTTTGTAATGAAGAGACTTAGTATTAACTGGATGTAATTTAGTTTTAATTAAGTTTTCACCAAAGACCAAGATGTCTGAGGACCTTAGGGTCCTAACTTAGAATAAATAGAAAATTATATCTTAGAATGGATTAAAAACATAAAGTCTGCTTTTCTGAAGCAGCTAAGTTAGATTATTTATTTGTTTAAGTTAGCCCAGTAGGGTTTATTTTGCCATTTTCAAGCATAATTTGCTTTTGCTGCTTCTCCTTCTCTTTCTCCCATACTCCTTTGCCCTAATCTTTCTATTACCCTCCCTTTCGAGACTTCATGTAACCTAGGCTAACCCTGAATCCACTATGTAGCTCAGGCTAGCCTTGCTAGAAAGAATAGTCTCTTTAGTTTGACAAATTATGTACCTTTTTGAGCTTTTGGTTATGTGTTTGGAGGGATGGCAGGAGGGAAGGAGGGCCCAACTCCACCCAAGGAAGCCTTCAGTGAGTTTCTCTCTATTCTACCCCCTTTCTTTCTTAGCCTCGAGACAGGGACAGATGCTTGTTATGTAGCTTTGGGTGGCCTAGAACTCAACATTTAGAACAGGTTGGCCTTGAACTATCAATGATCCTCTGCTTCCCAAGTGTTGGGATTAGAAGGAGGGAGGAGGAAAGAGGGAGGGGAGAGAGAGAGAGGAAATTGCTGTACTTCGAGTCCCGAGGACACAGGTCTCCACACATGAAAAGCTTTTGTTACTTCGCAGTTTGCCACTTGTAAAGTGTTGTCCTCTTTTTCTTGGTTCTTGACTGCCAGGGGTTGGAGGAGGGGAGATAGGATGGGGGTATCATAACCAGACTTTGCAAATGCCAGGCAGTGGCTCTACCACTGAACTACACCTTTAGTCCAAGGGTCATCTGGAAGACGGAGCAAAGTCTTCGTATTGGAGTAGCCTTCTAGTACTCTCCACCTTCGCGCTGAATTCGTATTTAACCAGAGTATGAAATCCATAGATTCTTTTCCCTGGGAGTAAAAGCAGAAGACAGCTCAATCTCTATTTGCATGTGCGCAGTTAACGGGTTCTGAGAATTTGTATGACTCCAGAGCTGGCCTTTGAAAACTTGACACATGACCTAGTGGGTGGTAACCTACCGCACCCCCTCCCCAATCCCCTGACTGGTAGTAACGGACATTTAATTATTTATTCATGTATTTAGTTCTGCAGCGTCGGGGATTAAATGTAGGGGTTGGATGCTAGGCAAGCGATCTACCATTAAGACACACTTCCAGCCTTAGGTCTACTTAATCTTCGAAGATTCCCTCTTGTGCACCGGCCAGCTCTAGGCTGGGGCAGCGGGACTCCGGGGTAACTGCTTGTCTGTGTCCCCACAGGGCATGGAGAGACTGGCGGCCTGGGAGCCGCAGGGCGTGGATGCGCTACGTCGCTTCCAAGGACTGCTGCTGGACCGCCGAGGCCGGCTGCACGGCCAAGTGCTGCGCCTGCGCGAAGTGGCCCGGAGGCTCGAGCGTCTCCGCAGGCGCTCCCTGGCGGCCAACGTGGCTGGCAGCTCTCTGAGCGCCGCCGGCGCGGTGGCCGCCATCGTGGGGCTGTCACTCAGCCCGGTCACCCTGGGGGCCTCGCTCGTGGCGTCGGCGGTGGGCCTAGGGGTGGCCACCGCCGGAGGGGCAGTCACCATCACGTCCGACCTCTCTCTGATCTTCTGCAATTCCCGGGAGGTGCGGAGGGTGCAGGAGATCGCCGCCACCTGCCAGGACCAGATGCGCGAGCTCCTGAGCTGCCTGGAGTTCTTCTGTCAGTGGCAGGGCCGAGGGGACCGCCAGCTGCTGCAGAGCGGGAGGGACGCCTCCATGGCTCTTTACAACTCTGTGTACTTCATCGTCTTCTTCGGCTCACGCGGCTTCCTTATCCCCAAGCGTGCCGAGGGGGCCACCAAAGTCAGCCAGGCCGTGCTGAAGGCCAAGATTCAGAAACTGTCGGAGAGCCTGGAGTCCTGCACCGGTGCCCTGGATGAACTTAGCGAGCAGCTGGAATCCCGGGTCCAGCTCTGCACCAAGGCCGGCCGTGGCCACAACCGCAGGGTCTCCGCTGATCAGGACGCAGCGCTGTTTTTCTAAGAACACCCTTTACCCTCGTGGGATGGTCTAGATCTGTAGCATCCACGGGGAAACGCCACATAAGTGGAGGGCAAAAGACAAACTGTTCTTGTAGGTGTCGGTCCTCGACTCCTCGTGTGCGATGGACTTTTTCACTTTTGTAATCCCAATGGCGTATGTGACCTTAATCACTCACTTTGGTGGTGGGGGGCCAGAATCCTTTTTGCTACACACAGCTGGGCTGACTCTCCCTTGGGGGGGCGCACCTTGATGGTTTGAGCTGAGGTCTGGAGAGGTGTCCCTCCGCTGGGATCTCTTTAAGTTCTTACTGGAATCCTGGGACTCTCAAAAGGTTGGCCAGAGGAGACTTTTGCTTTACAACTCTGCAGTCCACATTCTGATACACAGAACTCCAGAATCCACAACAAGGAAGGCCTGTCCTTGCCTTTGTAGGGATTGGGGTTGTAGCTGCAAACTGGGCCCCGGAGCTGACTCTCCCTGCTCTTCCCACCCCAGTCAGTTTAGAATGAGAGACATCATTCCAAAGCGCCATAACGTTTGAAAAGGATGGCAAGCAATATTCATTTCCAGCCAGGTGTGGTGGTATATACCTGTAAGGTTAGAACTTGGAGATGAAGACAGGGGGATCAGGAGTTCAGGGTCATCCTTGGCTACGTAGTAAGCTCGAGGCTACCCAGGATTATAAAACTCTGATCGCAAACCCGACTCTCTTCAATAGACTTGTTGAACGGCTCCCAGGGGCTTTGTGATCTTCAGAATCTCTCATAGAAAGCCCAGGAGAGGCTGGCCCAGTCACTCTGTCCCCTACGGGATAGGAGACGGAACACTACAGCCCTTTAGAGGGCTCTGTTGCTTGTTCTTTGTAGAAACTGGTACAGAAAGGAATGTGAACTTCCTGGGAAAAGCCATCTTTGTTCTCTGAAAACTCCAGGTGACATAATTTTATTTATTTAAAAAGAGTTATTTAATTACTGCCTATTATTTACATTTAATTTTATTTAACCATCACACTTAGACAATAATAAGAATAGTAAGTGTTTGAATGGGACTCTCTTTCCAAGAGGCCAAATTTTAATTTCTAAAGAATCCTTCTTCCCTCTGAGGGGAATGCTTCTTCTAGTGTTTTACATGATCCTTGTGAGTAAGATGGGGCGAGAGTCCTGAATAGAGAGACTAAGCTAATTTTTAAACTAGGAAATGGAGTCTGGAATTGTGGAATATATGGATGATTAAGCACATGTGTCCTGAAGGTACTTTGCCAGAACAGAACACTTGACTTGAATAGAAAAACCTGTAATTTGGTTTGGGGAGAAGAGGGCAAATAGAGCCATGTGAAGGAAGCATTTAGATCTTGGAAACCTGATGTCTTGGGAGATTGTGTTACAGTAGAGATAGGTTGCATTTTGACTTTGGGGGTTGTAAGAACCTGTTAGCTATGTTTAACAAAGTACTTCTAATTTATTCAACGTCTTCCTAAGTTATCCTAAAAAATAAGCTGGAAAGTCTTTGGAACCATACCCAAGAAACCTTGGCTGTATTTTTAAATTATTTAATGTTAACATTTGTACAACTCCTATGCTTCCCAATGATGGCCTTGTGTCCAAGGAAATGTAATTTTGGCATGAGGGAGAGGGGTTGCTGTTCTATATTTGTTTTATTTGCCTATAAATTGTAATTGGATCATATCCTGGCTTAATTTGTCATTGATTCTTGGGGAGGACACTGTGTAGACTAGGTTGGCTTCAAACTCACAGAGATCTGTCTGCTTCTTCTTCCTGAGTGCTGGGATTAAATGAGTATGCCACCATGCCCTTGTTTTTTGTTTTTAAACTGGTGTCGTTTCTAGACTGCCTCATGTGGATGCTGCAGTACATTTCACACCATAATTATAGCATCCAGCTACAGCCGTTTCTTATGCCGTCATGTACTGATGCTTCATCTTGGATCGTATTTCCCCAATACTGAGCTGTTCCCTATGAACCAAGATGGGAATATCTTAGCACTAAAGTTCTGAAGTTTGTGACAGTGGTCTGCTGTTTGCGAGTGTGGAAGAGTGTCTACTTTCTATCAATAGGTTGGATATAGCAGTAATTAAAAAAGCAACCAGGGCATCGTGGCAAAAGGGCTGAGAGTCTCAGGGCACTGGAGCTACAAACAACAAAAACTGAAAACACATCTGAGCTGCATTACTAGGGACTGCTTGATACAGAAGGATCATTCACTTTCTTGGGCGCATGAATGCACACAAGATTGGAGGCTTTAAGAGGAGTTAAAGTTTGTTAAAATTGATGCTAGAGACAAATTGTCTGTTCTGTTCATGGGACTTTGGAGTGAGCTTTCCCTTCTGTAAGCAAACAGGTTGAAAGGATTTGTTGCAAAAGAAGAGAGAAAGAGAGAGAGGGAGAGATGCCAGGTTTGGGAAATACATGCTTATTGTAACTGTTGGAATGTTTCTCTGTTCCTTTCTTGGCCTTACAGACCTCTGAGTTATATGGTTACACAGCAAAGGGAATTCATTTGGTCTGCATCCTACAGCTCCAATAAAGTGCCATTCCGTTCCATTAAGAAGTAACCCTTGGGGCTGGCAACATGGCTCAGCAATTAGGAGCACTTGTTACTCTTGCAGAGTACCAGGGTTCCATTCCCAGCACCTACATGGAGCTCACAATCATCTGTAATTCCAGTTCCACGGGATGTCGTCTTCTGACTTCTGAGGGCACCAACCATGCACATGGTATACATACATATATGTGGGCAAAACATTCATACACATAAAATAATCTTAGAAAGACAAAAAGAAATAATCTGTAGTGAGCATTCTGATCCTAACTCCAGTGTATTTGTCCTAGACACCTGCCATTTCCAATAGGGCAAATGTCGAAGGTAAAAGTTGTGGCTTCAGGGAAAGGGATAGGAGGGTATGGAGACTGTTGCAGATTGGGTCGGACGGTCAACTTCACATTTCTCTACTTCAGTAGCTGGTATGAAAAATAAATTAGACAAGGAGATTGTGCAGGGGCCTGAAGCAATCACTCAGTGGTTAAGGGCATTTATTTGCTGTTTTTTTCCCCCAGCACCCATTTAGTTGGCTCACAACTATGTGGAACTCCAGCTTCAGGGGATTTAATTCCCTCTTCTGACCTTTTAAGGTCACCTGCAGACCCGCATACACACACACATAGATAAAAATAGTCTTTAAAAAAAGGTTGTAGGTGGCGGGCACTGGTGGCGCATGCCTTTAATCCCAGCACTCAGGAGGCAGAGGCAGGTGGATCTCTGAGTTCGAGGCCAGCCTGGTTTACAGAGGGAGTACCAGTCAAAGATACACAGAGAACCCTTGTCTCAAAAAACCCAAACAAGCAAACAAATAAATAAATGAATAAATAAATGTAAAAAAGAGGTTGTACAGAGATAAGTAGAGACAAAGCTGAATATAGCAGCCTAGTTCATTCCTTCCACAGTAGTCAGTTAGTCCTTCCCTTTCTATTGGAGTCAGTGGCTCAAGTCCGAAGCTTCTTTATTTTCTCATAGCTACTTAGGCCACGTCTGGCAGGAGGCAGAGGTGGGGAGATCAGCAGGTCAAGTCCAGCTTTAGCTATGGAGGACCAGCCGGAGCTCCATGAGACCCCATCTCAATTAAAAAAAAAAAGCATTCAAAATTATCAGGTGTGGTCAGATACAGTATCTATTGCTAAAATTCCACCCCTAGGGAGCCCCAGGTAGGAGGCAGAAGAATCCAAGCCTAGCCTGGTCTACATAGACCTAACTGAAAACCAAAACAAAGCAAAAGCCTAGCTGTGGTTGCCACCAGCAGTGGGGACAGATACTCTGGAATGGTCTCTCTCTCTGATTGCCCATCTATGCACCTGCACTTTGTGCCTGGCCTAGAAGTTGCAATGGCCTGTGTCAGCTCCACTCTGTTAGCCACAGCCTGCCACAAGCTGGAGTCCCATGCTTATAGAGTTCCTGTAAGCATCCTCTCCGTTGACCGCCACGATTCTCTTGATAGGAATTTGGAAAACTGGAAAGCTACTTTTGTTCTTGGCAAATTTGCAAGTAGTTATGTAATCCTGCTGCAGGCTGGGGCTGGACATGAAGAGCCCTAAGACCTGGGAACATTCTCTTAGCAACCAGAGTTGTCTGAAGGGAAATTGTGTTGCTAGTGAGTTCCATCTTAGAACCAGGAATGCACATTTGGGATCCTCAGCAACTGAGGTCGGTCCAGCATGGACACTGAGGCTGTGGAGAGAGTGGCTTTTTGTGGTCTTACTACTTAATGATTTTGTGTGGCTTCACTGTAACACCCCAATCCTCACCCTCACTCCTGTGCCCAAAGTGGGGTGCAGAAAGGCTTGAAGCCTGCTTGGTCTCAGAGCTTCAGCCAGGGGACACTGTCAAGGTCTCTGGGCTCCCTGTCCACAGCTAGATACTGACTGGTCCCCATGGCCAAATTTATGAAGACGGCTGAAATTGAGAGAGGCTGTTTGTGCAGGTAGAGCTGGGAGGGAGTGATACCAAAAAACCTTTCCCATAGGTGGAAGCTGCTTTTTCTAGCAACTAACACCACTGCCCTCACCTTATGATTTAATTACATAATACTTACAGCGCAATTAAAAACCATTATTATTGTTGTTACTTTAGCTAGACTTGGTGGTGCATGCATTTAATCCATGCATATAATCCCAGCACTTGGGACCTGTAGGCAGGAGAATCAAGAGCCTAAAGCCAGCTTCAGCTACCTTGAGTAATAATTTTGAGGTCATCTTAGCCTAAAGATGCTGCCTCAAAAAGCCAACAATCAAAACCAATACTTTTTTCAGTGCTTATAAAATTAGATTCTGGCAAAAATATAAGAGCTTTCTGGTAAGGTATTTAGTAATCATAGTTAACAATCATTAAGAACTTGCTAGCCTGTTCTAAGTACAATTTGACCATATTATCTCATTTAATTTACAATACTCTTACCAAGTGGACACTCTAGTTACCTTGTATTGTTAGATACTATGAGGAACCTGAGAAGGCACACAATGACAGCAACCCAAGATTTGAGTTATAGAATGGTCTCTCTCATTCTAGAGTTATGCTCCTACCTACTCAACTAGTGAATACAGCTCCTCCTAGAGTGTCTCATGTGTCTAATCCTAGCATTCTGAAAGCTGAGACAGGAAAAGTATGAGTTCATGGCCAGCCTGGGCTATAGAGTGGAAGTGTAGGCCAGC